AGAGGAGACAACCGGGAGAGGTTAGGTGGTGTTAGGTTAACAGCAAGGAATGTTTCTTTTCCCTAGTAATCTACCAATGTTGCCAACAATATAGGACCAGTTCACAGGCACAGAAGAGAGGCCACTAGCAGAGAGCACTGAAACCATCCTTAAGTTGTCCAGACTGCCTGAGCTCCCTCACTAGTATCTGCTCTCGTTGTTTTTGTTAACACAGGAGAACAGGAAATTTCTGATTGTTGCTTATTTTTAAATGCCACAGAAAGAGTTTTTAAACAGTATCTTCTAGGTATACGTAGGTAGGAAGCTGTCTGGCTCTATGCCTCTGTATGATTTCTGTTGTGGGGAGAACAAGACTTGCCACATGAGAGAGCAGCTGCCACCCAGGACATGGGCAGTTTTGCTTCAGACCTAGTGGAGGCTGAGGGTGCAGGACCAGGAGGCCCCTGGGCAGCAGAGACCCCAAGAGATCATATCCAGCGAGGCAGGACACAGCAGGACAGTACTTGAGGGGTGGGCAGTGCTTTTGCAAGGGGGGGGAGGCAGAGTCAGCTCCCAACGGCTCCAGCACTTGTGGGTCAACTGAACTGAGAAGCAGAAGCCAAGTGGTCTCTGGTTGGTCTGAGCCTCCTTGCTGAGGCGGGGCCGTTCAGCCCACGAGTGCTGACTGCAGGTCAGCTGGTACTGTCCCTGACTAAAGCAAGATGGAGATTCTGAGACTACCATACCCAGCCTCACCCCAAATACTGGCCCTGAAATTGGTCATTTATCAAGCAGAATGGATGGGGACCATTCAGGTCAAGCACCTCACACTTGCCATGAGGTTAATTAATTCACTTACCCTGACCCTATAATACTCCTCGGGCCTTGGGGTCTGGGAATGGGTGAGCTGGAAGTCTGGTGAAGTTTCAGCTTGGGGACTTCTTCCTCCACCTCAAAGTCCTGCCTACAGCATCCTATTCTGAAAGCTGCAGTGGTGACGCTTGGGCTAAGGCTGGTTCGTGTGGGGTAAATGAAGATTATTCAACAGTCTGTATCTACAACCAACACCCATACTGTTTTTTAGTTTTAAAAATTATATTCCAGATGAAAGAACCAAAGAATCACTTAGGTAAGTAAGAGCAGAATATCTCCCTGTGGCCCACCAACAGCTTTTCATAGAGAAAAAGAGAAACCAGGCCTCACCTCCATATCTGGACCCATCAGCAGTGGTCGCATTTAGAGAGAGGTTGGTGTGGATGTAGCCAGGGCTGATAACAGTCACCTCGATTTCATACTGTTCCATCTCGGCACGTAGACAGTCAAAGAATGCCTGGGTTGCGTGCTTGGAGGCTGCATCTGCACATGTGGATGGAGAGGCAGGTGAGTGCATTAGAGTGGGCATGCCCGAGGCCCACCTTTCGCTCCTAATCACTCATTCTTTTTTTAAAACCTGATCTTGTAATTTAAGATTACAGTATTATAACAATGTTCATTTCCTGATTTTGAGAAGTGAACTGTGTATCCTTGTTCTTAGGAAACACTGAGTTAAGAGTAAAAGAGCATCGTGTCTCTAGCTTCCTTTCAAATGGTTCAGCAAAGAAATTAGAAATTATATATACATACATGCAAATAAGGTAAAATGTTAACAATTGGGGAATCCACATGAAGATACATGGGAGTTGTTTGTGCTGTTCCTGCAACTTTTCTTTAAGTCTGAAATTATTCCAAGTTAAATGTTGAAAATAAAACAAAAATTTAATGCCTATTGGCTAAAACATTCAAAGAGTATAGAAAGACAAAGTAAAAAAGTGAAAGTCTTTCTGCCTTCCAATTCCATTCCTAGAGGTACCTAACGCCAATAGTTTCTTAGGATTTATTTTATATATATCCTACTTACATACATGTGACTTTACACATAAGTAATAGTTTTTTTTTTACAGAAATGAGCTCATGCTGTGCCTATTGTTCCTGCAAGCAGCTCTCTTCACCTGGTGGCACAGATGGACAGCCTCTGTGCCACCGTGCAGACCTGCCACGTGGCTCTGGCTGCCCAGTCCTCCCCTGTGGGTCAGCAGGTGACAGAACTGGCCCCATCAATGGACCTTCATAGGTTGCATCCAGTTTCTGCCACTGAAAAACATGCTACCAGTGAGCATCTTGCATATGAGTGTGTGTGGATAAAATCCATGCCTGGCTTTTTGCATACTTCACTTGACAAACTTCCAGGCAGTGGCTTTTCATCCGGAAGATCAATAGCGCCTGCTCCACTTGCAGAAACAGTGCCGTCTCTGCTCTTCAGCAATGGCTCCACAACCCAGTGAAAGGTGCTCTGAAGGGGAACACAGTGACCCTATAATGACATTCTTGGGAAACACACCAGCATCTCCACAGAAAATCAGCTTCTTCCAGTTCATAGTTCTAAATGTTTTAGCCTTAGGAAAGAAGGGGCATCCATCAGCCAAGGAAACAAGAAGGGAAAAAGCAAGGAAGTGTTGTGGCAAGTCACATGAGGCAGTTTGGAGAGTCTGAGCTTGCTGTAGTGCATTTCTGGGCCAGCTCCTTGGGTTTGGGGCAGAGTTGCTGGGGGTTATAGATGGGTGGAGAGAACTGCTATCGGCTGTGATTCGAGGGGTGCAGCCCAGGCCTGAAGACTGGGAAGAATGGGTTATCCTGGGGGTTCCTAAAATGGAAAGCTACACCTAGACATCTGGGTCTCCCCAGGGCTCCCAGGCTGTCAGTTCTCAGCCAGCCTGTGCTGACCTAACCCATCACCGCTGTCGACATCACTTGGCCTCTCTCCTAGGTGAGGCACAGTGCTAAGCACACCGCATGGATCACCTGACTTGGTCCTCAAATAGAGGATGAGGGAGATGATGTTATTCTCCCTACTTTACATATGAAGAGACTGCTGCTCATCTGGGCTAACTGACTTGCCTAAGAGGCACTGCCGTATTCAGTCTGGTCATCATAAAGAACCCACCAACCATGTGTGCCTTACTACAGTCAGCAGGCTAACTAGAGAACAAAAATCAGTGGAATTAAATCAACATAATATTTGGAAATAATTTAGTACAAAGAACTCTGTATATCCTTTGCCCCACCTTACCTATCATTAACACTTTACATCATTTGCTTTATTGTTTGTTTTATATATATATAAATATAATACTATATATAGTATTTTTTTGTGAACTATTTGAGCAGCCTTCAAAGGCTCTCCTATGCTATCAGAGTTCAAATAGAATATTGGCCAACAGAGAAATAACAACCATAGAAACAAATACAGATACAGTGCTTTACAGTTTACAAAGGACATCTCTAGTTGTCTCCTTTCATCTTTAAACCAGCCTGTGAAGGCTGTACAATGATTGTAAGTCCCACTGATAAGTAAGGAAACAGAGGGTCTGAAAGTTAAGTCACTTGTCCAAGGACATACAACTGGAACCAAAAGGTAGCGCTGTGATTCAGACCTCAGGAGAAAGAATAAGTTTTTGTTACATTTCCAGTTCAGATAGTTGGCTAGATCATATCATCAAACTGGATGTTTTTTACTGTCCTTTCAAAGTGCTGACACAGCTCTGCTTTCCCTCTATGGCCAAGGCTGTGGTGGGCAGGGCTGAGTCCCTCCTTGGGAGGTTGGTGAGAGTGGATGACGCTGTTACATGTCAGCATTTCCCTTCAGAGAGTAGCCAAGAAAGGAGTTACTAGGACAGTTTGTGAAATTACCTTTAAAATCTTTAAAAATAAAAATAACTAGATTCTGTGTGTTTGCATGTGATGTGATGGCAGACAGGTGAAAGAAACGACATGTTAAATTGTGGCATAGCCACTCTCATAGAGTTACTAGGACAGTTTGTGAAATTACCTTTAAAATCTTTAAAAATAAAAATAACTAGATTCTGTGTGTTTGCACGTGATGTGATGGCAGACAGGTGAAAGAAACGACATGTTAAATTGTGGCATAGCCACTCTCATACATGCACGTGAGAGTGCGAATTGGAAGCCAATTTAGCAGTTTTAATTTTTTGGTCCTACCTAATAGTTCTACTTCTTGGAATTTATCTTATTGAAACGCTCCCCTGAGTGCCCAGAGATATAAATATCCAAGGCTGTTCTATGTAGCACATCACTGCTAATGGTCAAAGACCGAGGAGAAAAAAAATCCTCCCATGTCCAGGAAAATGGCTTATCAGTTACGTCACATCCACTCAATGGATTATTACATATCCACTTAAAAGGGTGGGGTAAATTCATATATGCTGATGTAGAAAAATATACTGTCAAGGGGAATAAGCAAGCCACAAAACAGTATGCATAATGTGATGCCATTTTTGTATGTTTGATTTTATCTAGAAAAAAATCTGGAGGCATACGCCCCAAAGTGATGAAATGGTTATACTGGTGCGGTTATGCTCATAATTAATAATAACAATAAGAGTGGCTAGTACTTGTGGGGTGCTTAGAGCCTGGGGCAGGTCATGCACTTCACTCACAGCAGCCCTCAGGGCTATGACTGGGACAATTTACATTTGCACATGAGGTTGGAGCACAAAGAGGTGGGGACATTTGCCCAAGGTGACACGGGGGTAAGGAGTGGAGCTGGGGTTTGAATTTAGGCATTTGGCTCCAGGAAACACAGAAGGAAACATGAAGTTCCTTCACATTCTCTAAGCATATTTCTACAATGTCTGAATTTGGGATAGTAAACGTGTTAATTTTATAATGGGGAGAAAACAAAGAAAAACATTTGGGGAGAGGGAGACGGAAGCACTCACAGGCCGATCGAAAAGGAATGCTGATTTTGCCCTGGATGCTGCTGATGGCAACGACGTGGCCTCTCCTCCTCTTGATCATGGAGGGCAGGAGTGCTGGGAGAGAAGATAGAGACTTAGGTGGTCACTCTACCTGGTGCTGACAGGAGGTGACTGAGGAAGGCCCCTCAGGTGGAGGAGCCAGGTGGAACTCTCAGGCCTCCTGCGGTCAGCAGATGCCAGCAGGCCAGCAGGAGGCTGACAGCCTCATCACCACGAATGTTCTCCTCGCTTACCTTTTCCTGAGGGGAGCATCTCCCCTGGATTGAAATGTGTGGCTGGACATAAAAGCCCCACTTGTAGGGGCTGGCAGACACCATAAAAAGGAAATGCAGGTAATGCTGTGCAAAAGGAGGCTGTCACTGAGGAGGACATCTTGATTTGAAGCTATAAAGCAGACAAAGCAAACACCCAAACTGTAGTGACAACAGCCACACCAGAATAAAGCAGAGGATGGAGACAGGCTATGTTTATCTGAAAAGAAACAAAATGAAGTAAAAAAGAACGCCAATATATCAGTGTTCTTTTTTCTTTTAACTCAAGACTGTTACCTTTTGTCAGAGCAACTGGGCCAAAGTAGTTTGTCTCCATGACCCTCTTGTCCACATCCACTGTGGTGTCTTTGATAGTACCACGGTAGCTGATCCCAGCATTGTTGATAAGTATGTCCACATAGCCAAAGCACTGCAGGATTTCAGCTGCTGCTGCAACTATAGCTCCAGGGTCTGTGAGGTCGAAGGTCACTGTGTAAGGCTTGTGTGTCTGCACCTGATCAAATACAACAGATGCCAAATGTACCTTCTGAGTGACAGGCCATGCAAGCTACGTGTCTCCGTTTCTCAGAGTCCTGGGAGTGGCCCAATGGGCACAAATTGATACAGGCTGCAACAATCCTCTTCTAAAGAGATGCAGCCTAAGGGGTTCCTGCCTATGGTGCTCACACCTGACCTGGGTAAATTTTCTCCTACATTAAAAATGACTACACTCCACAAATTATAAGGCTCCCTCTTACCTTTATCACCTAGACAGTAAGTTCCACAGGGCAGGGATCACATGTTATTGATTATTGTAGCATATTACCACAGAAGCTATTAATCATAGCTCCCCTTGCTGCTCTGTGCTGTACACTGTCATTACATTCAAAGCACCCACTGAGAGGTGCTGTACTTCTCAGGCTGAGTCGCTTTTATTCATTTGTTCATGAAACATTTTTTATACATTCTCTAGGTGCCAGGCACTGGGGACATACCAGAAAGCAAGACAGACCTGGTTCCTGTCCTCCTGAAGCACACAATCTAATGGGGAAGACAGATAAATTCTATAATAGTAAAGAATGTCATGAAGGGGGCCAGCCCGTGGCTCACTCGGGAGAGTGCGGTGCTGATAACACCAAGGCCACAGGCTCGGATCCCATATAGGGATGGCCGGTTTGCTCACTTGGAGAGCGTGGTGCTGACAACACCAAGTCAAGGGTTAAGATCCCTTTACTGGTCATCTTTAAAAAAAAAAAAAAAAAAGAATGTCATGAAGAAGCACAGGGTGCTACAGAAACGAGTAACTGAGCAATCTAAGAGGGCTTCTTATTGGAAGCAAGGTTAATAAGAGATCAAAAATTTGAGTGGGGGTGATGTCAGAGAAGGCGCCTCGACAACTGTACTGGCAGAAACTCTGTAGTGACTCTTTTGGAGCCCTGGAGTCTATTTGTGCAGATTGAACCCTTGACATTGGTGTTACAAGACTGTGCTCTAACCAACTGAGCTAACCAGCCAGCTCCTTGGAGTCTATTTGAATGCTTGCAGTGCTTCAGTGTCAGTAAGCTGTGGTTACTTTTGGTCAACTTCAGCCTTCAGCTTAGTTGATAGCTACCTGCCCACCACCCAGCCCTGTGGTAAGCAGCTACAGAAAAAAGCAGCCTGTGTTTCCAGTGCAGTTTGTAGGAACCAGAGTGGGAAATAAGAATCTTGTCCTCTAAATATTAGGGTTCTGTGTTCTGATGGTGGATTGCTGCTCTGATCAATGAAGTGCAGCATGGGGGCAGGTGGCATTGTTTCAACCACCATCATCTGAAGCAGCTTCCAGTAGATGTAAAGGAGCCCCACCTGTTTGGGGGGCATTCAAAAATATTAATAAATCTCTAGAAAACATACTGAGGAAGCCCAGATGCTGAACTTACTAGACAATGACTTGAAAACAACTGTCTCTAAGATGCTCAAAGAGTAAAGGAAGACAAGGACTGTAGTGGATTGAATTATGTTCCCCCAAAACTCCCTAAAGCTTGAACTGTGTCCTACAAGTTTTATGTATTAGAAACTTAGCCCCCACCGTGACTGTTAAAGAGGGTGGGAAATCCTATTATGGTAATTGAAGGTGGAGGCTTAAAGAGGTGGTTGGATTGTAGGACCTTGAAGTAGTGAATGGATAAAAATAGTGGTCAGGGGCGTGGTTCCTAAGGCTTTAAAAGAAGAGAAGTCTTTCTCTCTCTCACTCTATCTGCTTCCACCATCTTGCAATGTGAGACCCTTGGGTCACTCTCGCCACCACCAGATGGACTTTGGACTTCCCAGCCTCAGAAACGGTAAGCAATACATTTTCTTTTTCTTTATAAATCGCCCAGTTCCAGGCATTTTGTTATAAGCAACAAAAACAGACTAATACAAGGACAAAGACAGTGAATTGATACATAAACAAAATGAGAATATTGGGCAGAAAAGACAGTCCCCAGCGTCACTCTCTCCCACAAATCAACAAATTTACAACTATTAAAAAGCAACGACAGCCAAGCTGGGGCTGCTAGAGCTCAGGGGAAAAGGAAAGACCTATGGAGTTCACGAAGATGGGAGAAGCTATGATGAGGAAGAAAAGATCGCTCCCACTATTTCAAGCCCCAGTTGCTTCAAGGCTGGAGCTGTTGAGTGCACAGAGCAGGAGCTGGCAAGAGCTACTGCTGTGCCCTTCATATGAAGTTGCTTGGAGGCAGCAGGGTAGAAGATTGCTTTGGTGGCCCCCAGACCAGCAGACTACTAATAGGGTTCCCGTGGACCCACATATGAGTGAGGAACCACAACAACTGAAAACAGGAGCCACTCAGAGGCCGGTGAGTCATTGCAAAGGACCAGTGCATGGCACATTCTATGGGAAGTGTTTGGAGTGTGGGTGGAGGGGGAGACAGGCCACCGGGGGAACATTGCAGCACAACATGGACAGCTGATCTGCCATTCAGCGCAGGACCACTCAGTGGAGACTGGTCAGGAATATAGAACTTCAGAGGGTGCAGTTTGCTGAAAAGACTCAGGTCCAGACCACAGTTTCCACACAACCCAGGTGTACTGGACCTCAAAAGACCCAGAAGTGCTTACAAGGTCTACAATTAAAACCTGAGCTGCACAAAAAGCCTTCCCCAGGGAATCAGCAACAAAGCAACAATTTAGCTCAACCACAGAGCTCAAATGCTGGTCCCCACAGCAAGTTCCCCCATTTTAGAAGTAAGCCTGCAACCAGCCCAGCAATGACCACTGAGCCATGGCCAGAAGAGCCCCGGGGTCCTGAGCCAGGGTGGAGGGGAGCTGAGGGCCTCAGCCACAGCCCCCAGCATCCACGACCAGCCCAGTGATGACCACCGAGCTGCCGCCAGAAGCACCCCAGTCTCCCGAGCTGGAGTGGTGGGGAGCCAAGGGCCTCAGCTATGCCCCTCAACATCCACACCAAGCCCAACAATGACCACCAAGCCACTGCCAGAAATGACCCAGGCTCCCAAGCCAAGGAGTGGGGGGCCAAGGGCCTTAGCAACACCCCCAACATCTGCAACCAGCCCAGTGACGACCACTGAGCCACCACCATAAAAACCCTGGGTTCCTGAGGCAGGGCATTGGGGAGCTAAGGACTTCAGCCACACCCCCTGACATCTACATCCAGCCCAGCAATGACTGAGCTGCCGCTGGAAGCCCCCTGGTCTCCCTTGCTGGAATGAGTGTGGTGCCACGGGCCTCAATCATGCCTCCCCCTTCTTCCTCCTCTCACCTTATTTCCCTCCTCTTTTTCCTCTTCCCCTACCCCCCAACTGCTCCACAACATCTTAGAATGTAAAAAAATAATATTAATAAATAAATTTTTTAAAACATGAGAATATAATTAAAGAGACAAATTATAAAAAGAAATTCTGAAGCTGAAAATTACAATAAGTAAAATGAAAAATACACTAAAGGGGTTTAAAAGCAAATTTGAGCAAGCAGATGAGAAAATCAGTGAACTTAAAGATAGGACAATGGAAATTATATAGTCTGAGTAAGAGAAAGAAAAAAAGAATGAAGAAAAGTAAGCAGAGAGCCTAAGGGATTTGTGGGATATCATCAAGCAGAGAGAGAGGGGTAGAAAGAATATTTGAAGAAATAATAGCTGAAAACATCCCAAATTAGATGAAAGACATGAATCTACACATCCAAGAAGCTCTACACCAAGTAGGATTAACTCAAAGAAGCCCCCATTGAGAAACATAATCAAACTATCAAAAGACAAAAAGAGAATCTTGAAAACGGCAAGGGAGAAATACTTCCTCACATAAAGGGATCCTCGGTGGTGGAATAGACGGTCCCCAGCACCACTCTCTCCCACAGATCAACCAATTTACAACTATAAAAAAGCAACAAGACGGGCCGGCCTGGTGGCGCACTGCTGTAGTGCGCCGCTTGGGAAGCGCGGTGGCGCTCCCGCCGAGGGTTCGGATCCCACATACAGACCGGCCGCTCACTGGCTGAGCGAGGGGCGGGAGCAACACCGAGGGTTGCGATCCCGTGGCCGGTCCCGGTCCGGTACGGGCGCGACACTGAGGGTTGCGATCCGTTGCTGGTCACGAAAAAAAGACAAAAAGAAAAAAAAAAAAAAAGCAACAAGAGCCAACCTGCAGCCGCCAGAGCTCAGGGGAAGAGGAGGAGAGACATACAGAGTTCATGAAGGTGGGAAAAGCCACAATGAAAGAAAGAAAAAACTGCTCAGAGCATTTTGGGCTGCAGCCACTTTAAGGCTGGAACTATTGAGTGCATGGAGCAGAAGCCAGCAAAAGCCGCAGCTGTGCCCTTCGTATGAAGTTGCTTGGAAGCAGTAGGGGAGAAGAGGGCCTTGGTGGCCCCCAGGACAGCAAGACCACTAATAGGGTTCCCATGGACCCACATAGGAATGAGGAGCCACAACAACTGAAAAAAAGCAGCCATTCAGAGGCCAGTGAGTCATCGCAAGGGACCGGCGCATGGCCCATCCCATGGGAAGTGTTTGCAGCACGGGCAGTGGGGGAGATGGGCCCATGGGGGGAACACTGGGACACAGCAAGGACAGATGATCCTCCCCCCAGTCAGCATAGGACCACTCAGAAGAGATTGGTCAGGAATACAGAATTGCATGGGGTGCAGTTTAGTGAAAAGACTCAGGCCCAGATCAGAGTTTCTACACAACCCAGGTACACCAGGTCTCTGGAGAGCCGGAAGCACCTATAAGGTCAACCAGTAAACCTTGAGCTGCACAAAAAGCATTCCCTAGGGAAACAGCAGCAAAGCAGCAATTTATCTCAACCACATAGCTCAAGTACTGGTTCCCACAGGAAGTTCCCCCATTTTAGAAGTAAGCAAAGGACAAAAAATTAGTTCCGGCCCAGGCACACCACCAGCACCTTGGGGCCTGCGTGGGGTACTGAGGCATCGAGCTGAGGACCAGACCCCCCCCCCCAACAACCAGGCACACTGCCAGCTCCTCAGGGCCCACCCAGGGTCCTGAAGCATAGA